ATAATTCCAACGAGCGTTTGTCCCTCGGGGTCATTTTGGGAACAATTTTTCTAGGCTAGATCTGCGGCACATTGTTCTGAAGTCTGCATACACCACCTCATAAAAGGAGGAGATGTAATTGCCTTTTGCCCAATGTGGATGGAATTTAGATTTGGGCTTAAACCCAGTGTGTTCGATGTGATCACTGTAGGAGGGCCCACTAGTGTCTATCATCCAAGGGCCAAATGAATAGAGGTCCCAATTCTCTAATGGTGCACTGCCACTATCTGTCCAAAGATCCTCCAGAATGGCCAAAGCCTCTTTGTCTGGATCTATACCAGATATAGAATCATTGGTGTTGTTGCAATCATTCCCCTCTCTTGTCTCTGTATTCAGATTTTTTATAGAAAAATATCTTTGAAGAGTGAGACTACGTATGAATCTATTCAGATCAATGAAGAGCTCAAATAAATTGGGCAAATTAGGTGCAAAATTCAGACCCTTCTGCAGTAAACTGTATTCTGACACACTGATGGTGGCTTTAGACAAATTGTAGATTTTAATAGTACTACACTCTTGTAATATTTCTTGCCCCTTTTTGGACTGGACCCCACCTCTCCTTCCTCTACGGGTTCTCCGGATCTTTTCCATCTGAGTTGGTCTCCTGAAAGGGGACCCTTCTCTAAAAAAGAATGTGTAATGTCCCGAGTGGCTAAAGAGGTGGAGGGGATGGGGCCTGGCTCCACTGGTACTAAAACTGTGTGAGGTGGTGGAACCTGCTTCCTTACTGAACCTTCAGCAGATGTATAATGTTCTCTAGATGGGCTTTCAGATATCGCAGATGCCCTAGAATGATGTACTTGTGTAAAGGAAATGTCCTGACCATTTGTAGTATCAGCACATGGAACTGGGTCTGAGTTTTGAACATCTCTAGGGTATTGAAAAACCTTGTTGTACTGGGTATTGCTATAATAACTCTTATGCAAACTCTTCCCACCATAATGATGGTTATTTCTATTTTTATTTATATTTCTATAGTTATTGTTCTTATTCATATTCATATGACCTCTATACCCATGTGACCCAGATTGGCCAGAATGGAGAGGAGGGTGGGGGGCCCTGACCACCCCTGGGTGGGTGTCTACGGGCCCCTGGCCAGTGCCCATTCTTTCAGTAGAGTGGCCCTTGCATTGGTTCACTCTACTAGATGATGGAACTCGATTGGGCTGTGCCATTTTACCACCATTGGATAGGGATGGTTGTCTTTTCCGTTTCCAATTGTGCTCTCTCCCAGGCATGAAATCTGCCCTGTCTCTTTCGAATTTATGGGCCTTCTTACTAATAAGATTGGCCTCAAAAGTAACTATGGAATTATTGATATTATTGTCCCACTCCGTAAAGTATGTGCGATGTGTGAAGGCCTCTAGATCTTTTTGTGCTTGGGAGAGCTGAATCTGGATTTTCTTCAGATTCCTCTCTCGTTGTTTAATCACTGTTAGCATATAACCCTTACTACATTCTCTAGACAGATTATACCATTCTTCTTTGAGATATGATTCTAGAAGGCACAACTATTAGTGATCCTCAAACCCCTAGGGGCTCTCTTAACCTCCATATACTTCTGTAGTGATAAGATATCCCACCACTAAACCATCTCTACTTCTAAGATATGTTTAAGGTGGTAAAACTTGGAGGACATCAGTTCCTCCTCCATGGTTGCTGAATCTCTATAACCAGACTGTTTGTCAGGGATCCCGGGTCCTCGGCGGTGTGCGCATGCGCAGACGGCCGATCCATCCCGGCCGACGATCGCGGCGGCGGCCGCGCATGCGCGCAGTAGCGCTCGCGGCCGCACCAATGGGAGAGCAGGGCGCTCTATTTAAAGCTGCCCTGTGCATCTCCAGGTTGCCGCAAGGTCTTGTTTCCTGTCCTGTAAGTACGCTTCCTAGTTGCCAAACTCTGCCTGTTCTGACTTATGCTGACCCTCTCCTGCTCTGACCCCGGCTCGTCCCTGACCATCCTCCTGCCTGACCCTCTGTACCGCGCTGCCCGCTACCTGCTGATCCTGGCTTGTGACCCCGACCATTCTCCGCTTACTCCCCCTGTACCATGCTGCCCGCACGATACCGACCCGGCTAGTCTGACCTCGCTCACTCCTAGCTGTCACCCATCCATCCGCTCGGATCGGACCTGTCGTCCCCTTTGCAGCAGGCTCACCCCGGGCACATACCCCCAGCGGGACCCCTCTACCACCACCAGGGGTGCCCAGAGGCGCGACCTGGTTCTAGTCTTGCACCAAGTCCATCCCCACCATCAGGGGCCCTGGTGAAAAGGCAGACTGGGACTTAGACTCCGCATCCTGGGAAACCCCGTGCTGTGGACCACTAGAGATCCCGTTGGGCGGAGCCTGACAGTGTTGTTGTGGCCCAACACTGCCATGTGACTCATAGTCATCTACACTGTTTGAAAAACCCTTGGCAAGGGAGTTTCTTCTCATTAGTCTTTCCTCAATAGAAATCACCATGTTGATGGTCCAAAAAAGGACCCAAATGATAAATAGGTCCAAATATTCAAAAGTCCCTTGTAGGACGTGGTATGCTGGAGACAAGCAGCCGGTAACCCCAAATGTGGATGCACTCCAAAAGATAAACAAACGAAACCAGCGCTTCAGCGCTTTTTTTACATACTGTATATCTTTTCAATTTTATTAACTTTTTTTTTCTTTTTTCCTTCATATACGGTCATCATTAATATTGTATAATTCAATTACATTATTCATTTCATCTTATTTATTTTATTGTATATTGCAATTTTTGCCATTCATTGGTGGCGCCTTCCAGGCGCCACTCAGGGAGCCTCACTTTCTTTTCATTTATCCTTTGAATGACGTGAATTTGGATTAGTGTTGGGCGGCCTGGCTCCCTGGCGAATGCGTGATCCATGTTTGGGTGCAGCGCGCGAGCGCTGTTAACGTATGGTGTGGCGTGCGGCGCGCATGCACCAACGGGCCGCGTCACGCCCGCATCATGGAGCCTGATATGTCCCTGCCTACCAGCGTGGCGGAGTGTTTGGACGCCGCGCTGATTCCATTTGCTTAATCTATTTTTCAGTTGTCCTATGGTGTCTTGCACATGTTCTCCGGGCAACGACCGCATCGTCTGTACACTGCCTTCCATCTATTTGGGCAGTTTTCATTGAGATGGTGACCGTCCATCGAGTGTCAGGGTCACTCTCCTTGGGTGTAAATGTAAATGCACCTCCAGCATATTATATGTGCGGCAGTCTGTGTGTATTTTATGCATTATACAGGTTGCTGTTTGTTACATGACATTATATGCCACTTTGATTGTTTTGGTGGGGTTTTTTTTTTTTGTTTGCTCTGACATTGGGCTGCTGGGAGTGGGTGGGAGGGTCTATTTTACCCTCCTTTTGACATTTCTTTGGTATATAGGCTTGTGGCCAGTAGGTTCATTTCTATCTCTGAGGAAGGGGGCTCAGCTCCCGAAACGCGTTAGCTTATCTGCATCAAAGACACAGCATTTTGTGACTGTTTTTGTGGACCACATATACTGCTTTTATTATCATTGGTTTGTGAGTATACTTCTATTTGTCTATTCAATAAACACGTGGTATACCACGGTAATGCACGATGACAGTGCGCCCTTGTCACCCTTGTTCTTTTTTACCAGTGGTCAGATTTCCTGATCTTTGAAGGGCAGCACCTCTTCGTTTGGCATCCTGATATTTTTCAAGTTTGCATGAGGATTGGAGCGCTGGTTTCGTTTGTTTATCTTTTGAGATATGGATATATATATATATATATATATATATATATAACTGTATATATATGACTGAGTGTTCACATATGTGTTATCACTAGGGGAGCAAAACAACCCCAAAAAATGCATCCCTTCCTTTTGTTATTTCAGTGGATATTGCAGTTGTTTTTGGACTGTGCCATAGTGTTACTGCACTTGATCTATAGACGTCTATAGATGTTGTCCCAGAACTCTGCCCCCTGCAAGCCATTTCAGGCTGTGCATTATGCACGTTCATGTTTGTGATCACTGTGTCCTTTGGACACTGCTGATCCACACAGGGAGATCGAGGAAAGGGACAAATCTACAGCAGCCCTTTACCATGTGATCAGCTGTGTCCAATCACAGCTGATCACATGTAAACAGACTTGCCAGTAGGCACACATGTGTCTGTGTGCCAAAAAAGGAAAGCCAACTACACCAAAGGGCAAGACAAATCAGTTAACAAAGTTTACGTGAGAAATACATGATTTCCTGGAGAAAATCAGTACAAGCCCCATCAGTGCAGCAATCAGTGACATCTATCAGTGCAGTATAGCAGTGCCCCCTATCAGTACCCATCCGTGTCCTGCTGCTGATCAGTGCACAATCAAGCCCTTTTTGACCTCATTAGTACACATCAGTGCACCCTTATCAGTGCCCAGGCAGTGAAGCCTATCAGGGCCCATCAGTGCAGCACCCTCATCAGAGCACATCAGTGAGAAGAAGAAAATTTACTTATCTGCAAAATTTTACAACAGAAAGTAAGAAAATGTTTTCTTTTTTTCAACATTTTTGACTTTTTTTTGTTTGTTTAGCAAAAAAATAAAAAATAAAAGCCCAGTTGTGAACCCACCAAAAAAAAAAAAAAAACTATCTTTTTAAAAAAAAGTATAAAAATGTCATGTGGGTATGTTGCATGACTGTGCAATTGTCATTCAAAGTGTGACAATGCTGAAGTTAAAAATTGGCCTGGACAGGAAGGAGGTGAAAGTGCCCGGTATTAAAGTGATTAAAGTTTGAAGTTTTCAGAATCTGTGATGACTTTGACTAATGGCTTCTGAACTGAACTCAGGAGCATTCAATCATCACTAGTGGAGAATAGGGATGAGCCAAGGGTTTAGTCTGAACCTACATTCAGACTGAACATTGGCTGGTCAGCATTCAGATGAATGCAAGAGCTTTATAGTATTTTGCCCTCTGTTCAGCTGGAGCCATGCTTCACATATAGAAGCAGCCAGGGGCAGACTGACCATTTGGGGTCAGTAGGGGGCCCCATGAGATGCCCCTGGTACCTTTTTCATAGGCTTTTTTTGAGTTTGGGCAAGGACACAGAGGCACCATGAACCCCTATTGCTTGGGGGCCCCATGAGTTGTCAGTCTGCCCCTGGAAGCAGTATTTCTATGACTTCTATATATGACAGCCTCATGCTGTCACTGGCTTCTAAGGAAGCCATTGGTGCTTGGAACTGTGGTAGCACAAAGAATCCCTGCTCCTTTTCAGAAAAGGGGCAGGAATAGCAGTGACATCACTGCCCAAATATAACCATATTTGTCCATATTTGATCAATTATGGCATCACTATCCCAGTCCCTTTCCCAGCTCAGGGAGTTGTCATTCGTCTAGTGTTACAGTTGGGATATGGAATTACTGAGGGAACCTAATGCTTTTTTTTTTTACTTTGTATGAGGTATACCCCTCAAAATACTGACCAGACTCAAAAGGTCTGGTATGCATTTTGGGAGGGACTCTTCACATTTTTTTCATTCTTGCTGTAGAATGTGATACATCAACAAAATTACATTTATAATGAAAACAATTATATGGTTTTACTTACCAGCAAATTACATTCATTGATAGCATTACATTCAAAAACAGCAGAAAATGAAACCTTCTAAAGGTCCCCAAAAATATAAATAGGGGATACTATGGCATTATAATTGTACACTATTTAGACATTCTACAGTAAAAGGTATTTTGTTTCTGGTAAGATTAACTTACCTTTAGGTGGTGGTTGATTGCATTGTAATACTTTATGTGACTTGGTGTTTGCAGTTTCATAACTTTGTCTTTGAATCTTTACACTTATTTTTGGTCATCATTTTTGTATGCATATGTATGAGGTGAAAAGCACTATTTAAACCGCTTCAACTACAAAATATTTTATCCTCTTGATGACCAGGCTATTTTTTGCTGTACCACATTGAACTACTTTATGCACGTTATGCACAGCTGTACCCAAACAAAATGTATATAATTTTTTTCACACAAATTGAGCTTTTGGTGGCATTTTGATCCCTGATGGGTTTTTTTTTTATAAATGACTAAAGACCAAACATTTTGAAAAAAAAAAAAACTATATTTTTTACTTTATGCTATAAAATATATCTAATAAAAATGTATTCTAAGTGTATTAATTGGTTTGCTTGAAAGTTATAGCGCCTACAAAACTATGATATATACAGTATACTGGAAATTTTTTTTTTATACTACCAATGGCGGCAATCAGTGACTTATAATGGGGCTGCGGGAGTGTGGAGGGCAATCTGATACTAACTGATACTAACTGTCATCAGCACCAGTTACATTAATACAGTGATCAGAGTTAATACTATACACTGTCACTGTACTAATGACACTGGCTAGAAAGGAGTTAACATCTAGGGCAATAAGGGGTTAAATGTGAGACTAACTATGTATGTAAAGTGTGCTGCTTTTACTAAGAGATCTATCCGTTTCTGAACTGGCAGATCACTCCCTGTGTACAGAGCTCTGTGTTGAAAGTCAGTTCTGGGATGTGACTGTACACACCTGGTCAGTAGGTCCTGGCCGTGAATCATTAAACAGGACTTGCTGACAGGTTCCCGCAGTGTACAATCACAGTGGATGCCAGTGGCGGGGGCGCGAGCACTCAAAACCCAAAAGTAGGAAGCAACATACCAGTACACCGCTTTTGCCTACAGCAGCCCCCCGTCAGCAGAACAATGCAGGCTGGTGCTCATAAAATGGTTAATTAGGTTCAAATTCTTGTCTGGCTGGGCAAAGTGGAAAATGTTTGAGTCCACCTACTAGCGGTAAAGAATTGCAATTCTATTGGTAGCTAATACAGTAAACATATTTAAACTGTTTGTCTTGGGTTGTGCTTTAATTATCTTGGTGCCTTAACAAATTTAACTTGTCTGGGTCACTATTATGGTTGCAAGATACTCTCTCTTAACAATGGATACAAATGGAGAAACAGAAAAAGGGGTGCACCGACTTAGTGCAATATCGTTTAAAATAATTTATTAAAGAAACAAAAATAGGTATCATACTCACAATGGACATAATAACACAGGCGTGTCAAACTGAACAAGATGTATGATCCAAACAGCATCTGAGTCCATACGATGGAACCCTGGATGACTAACTGGCTAACGCATTTTGAGTACACAACCTCTTCTTCAGAGCAAGAGGAAGAGGTTGTGTCCTCGAAACGCGTTAGGGGGTTGGTCATCTAATTAATTAATTTAATTTAATTTGCATATCTGAAAAGTTTAATAAAATCTTTATATATACTCCTTGTTTTATTTGTAAACCCCTCCTCATGTTGAATCAGCCCCTTGAGGATGACAAATGAAGCTTTTTAACATGCTTTCTTATAATGATCATTGTTCAAATAAACATATGAGAATAATTGTTAATCTAATGGTCTGGTTTTTAGTGTATGGAGTAATTGTTTATTTAAAAGTTACATTTTAATTTATGAAAAAGACATCAAGGATTACTTTACACAAAACTCTACAAATAATATATAATATCCAGCATTCTGCAAAGTTGGCTATTGCTGTTAGTTCTCACTCTTTCATTAAAGACCAGATTAACTGAAGTGTGAAGTGAATAACCTACACTCCTCTAACATCCAGCCATGTGCAAGGAAATTTTAGAAAAGATAATTCTACACTTGATTGAATGTTTACAGTTGACTCATGTTCACTTCCCTTTACCTTATTTCATTTAACTGCATTTCCTTTCAGGTAATACTTTAGATCAGGCCAACAAAAGTGTTGTAATTAATAACAAAAGGGTGCACAAATGTTATCCTATATCTTGTTTTTCCTGATGCCTTCAGTGACAAATATGCATATGGAGAAGCTAACTTTTAGGAATTAATCAATTCATGGCCTTGGAATGGAGACTGACATAATTAAAAATATAAAAAAAAAAATTTCAAGTGAAGACAGATTTATTCTTCATTTAGCCATAACAGACCAGTAGGTTTCTTGTAACAGAAATATTCCACTCTCTCCCCCTGGGTGCATAGCATTCGCATTTTTTAGTTTAATTACCTTGATAGCTCTAAGATCACCCCCATGGCAATCCTGAACATGTCTAATAAAACATGAAGCTCCCGTACCAGTTTCAGTCAATCTAAAATGTTTCTGGACAAGATCTGTTAATTTCAGTTATTTTATCTATATACTAATATCTGCATGAGCATATCTTACAATAGACTACGTTCAACATGTTATAAATTCATTCATACAGTGAATGTAACCTCCACCTCCAATTGTTTTATCTTTTTTCATATAAGGGCTATCCTTAGCTCATAGGAGAAAAAGCACATGACATAATGGGCTGAAAGGCAGGAAAAGTGTTAAGAATGGGTGGTAGTCTAAGGATATTAAGTATAGAGCAGGAAGGAAGTGGTTAGATCAGCAATGGGCAAACTACGGCCCGGTGGACCTTTTAATCCGGCCCGCGGAGCGTGTGTAGGCGGGGCATGTGTGTAGGCGGGGTAGCGTGATGAACGTGAGGGGAGCTAGGCTCCTCTCACAGTCCGCCCTGAAGACCGGTACGGTGCGGGGAACACGGCGAGAGGAACGCGCGGAGCAAAGGTAAGCAAATTGACACAGAGGGGACTTGGCTTTACTATTTGGGGGGGGAATAGTACTGTGGGGGATGAAATACTATATGGGGGATGAATTAATATGGGGAATGAATTACTATGGGGGGGTGGGGGGGTGAATTACTATAGGGGGGATGAATTACTATATGGGGGATGAATTACTATGGGTGATGAATTACTATATGGGGGATTAATTACTATGCTTACTATGGGGGAATATTACTTACTTACTATGGATGGCATGGTAGTGTTTAAATTAATGTTTTAATGTTACAAATTTTAATTTAATTTATATTAATTCACACATACACATCATTCATCTACTCTTGGTCCGGCCCCCCGGGTCCAATATATGAACTAATTGCAGCCCTCAAGTCAAAAAGGTTGCCCACCCCTAGGTTAGATGTTAAGGTGACAGTGAGGAGGAATAGACAGCAGAGGTGAACAATTTGGAAAAAACATGCAGTGGGTCAGTTTTTTAACTGTTTTTTTCTCAGGCTTTCCAGGTAAGCCCAGGGTTTTTTTTCCAACATCAGATTTCCTGAATGAGTGCATTGCTGAAGTTTCTGTGGCTTGCTCGTGGCAGAGCAGTACAGGATAGAGATGGGCTAGATGTTTGAGTTGAATATACGTTTGACCCAAACATTGGTGAACACAAAAACGGCAAAGGCATTCGGCGGGCTATTTGCCCACCATGTCCCACAATGCACTGCGCCCTGACAGTGCATTGTGACTGGCCAAATCAATGCACCTGTCCATGGAGCATGATGACATCACAGAGTGGCATCTATTTATTCTGGGATTTGTTCTTTCAGATCTCCTGTAATTCCTAGGTTTAACCATCTGTTGTGGAAAGGGAGGTGGCTACACTTTCCTTCCTGTTCACATTACATGGTTGGCCTGACATTACTAAGCCCTTGTTAGTGTTAAAGGATATAGAAGAGGCAATTGCTCAGTAGACAAAAGAAGACCTGCAAACTTTTGCTTGCTGGAAGGCTTGTTTTGTGAATTGTATGCTGTGTGTTATGACAAATATGAGAGCTGTCTTTTCCATTTGGTATTACTTTGACCTTTTATGGAGCATTTATAATGAGTGTATTTGGCAGTGCTTGTAGTGATACGATGGATGGCTTATTGTTCAATAATGTCATGTGTGTAGATGGAATATTGCACCTGACTCAATCTAAAACTTAGTGGGAGAGGTTTTTAGATACAGTTGGGGGGGGGGGGGAGTACAATCATGCATAATCTGCCCTGTATATTGTTGTGTGTGGCGATGATCAGAGACACTGACTGGTGACAGTATGTAAAAAAATAAATAAATTCATAATTTTTTAATTATATTTCTTTCTTTTTAAAGATTTTTTATATACTGTGACAAGAGCAATATGATGTTACCATAGCAGCAATGTACTACTCTGGGGAGATCAGATTTTTTTTTTTTACACACTGTTTTTCACTTTTTTATAAACAACCATTTTTTCTGAATGAAATTTATTCATTAGGTG